TATCCATCTCTCGAAAATGTGGGCGTATCCTGCCTGGCAGCCGCTGGTACTTGCTTCTATTGAGTATTTTGAGAGACTCTAAATCACGCAGATGTAGAGAGCAAAAACTCAAAATTTATGAATGTCTGCGTATTTTTACGCAACTCGAAATTGATCCACTGCGATCTCTGACCGTGACCACATCCTGGCACCGATAGTTCTGCCCTTTGCTCAGCGTGCAGGTCGACGTTTCATCTTTCAAGATGATAATGCCCGTGCCCTCCAAGCTTGTGTCGTGAATGATTACCTCCAGCATCACCATATTGTCCATATGGCTTGACCAGCCATGAGTCCTGACCTTTCCCCTATAGAGCATGTCAGGGACATGATCGGGAGACGTGTTTGTCGACGTCAACGGACAACACTGCAAGAATTGGCCGTGGCACTGCAAGAGGAGTGAGTCAGATTGCCCCAAATCGTGATTGGACGGTTGATAAGGAGCATGACACGACGAATTGCTGAATGACTGAGGATTAGTGGAGCAATTACAGTGCACTCTGTCACATCCGACCTCTGATCACTTCGGCACTCTGTTACATCCGACACCATTTTCATGTCCCGATTTATTTTCTTATTACTTCAGCCAAACAATCTCTGGGTAATTCGAACCTCTGTACGTTCCGGATTACGACATCAATCAGCCGTCCCGTCATACGATTTCCATTGAATCGACACAGTATAATCCGGCCTTCAATCGGTGGGTGTGAAGCGAACACTTACCGATCAATTATCCGTGAGATTAAAACTGGATGGGTGTGAAGCCACAAAAGATTAACAAGCAATCACCAATCAATTATCTGTGAGATTAAAACTCGCTACTGTGGGTCTTTGTTGATTACTTTGATAATTTTAATCTCTTGTACGACAGTTGTGACAAATACTCAAGAATATCCACAAATTTTCCCCAAAATTCACAGTCGTAAAAATATTCCAAGCACCTGTTGGAAACATTCGTTAAGCATGCCGATTGAACCTGAATAACCTATAAGTTTGGTCATCCAACGGATCTCTTCGAACCGTGTGACGACGACCTGGGGATGCTCGATTCACAGTCCGGAACGTCCCAAATTGACAGAATTGCAATCGAGTGACGCAAAATTCAGTCCTGTCACAGTTCTGTCAGTCCCGACGAAGGAGGTGGTGTGAGTATAATTGTGCCGTAATTAAACACGACGAACAGGTTTCGGCTGCATGATTGGTGAGATATTTATATACTATTCAAAAAAAGTAGGGGATATTTGATTTTGGGGGCATAATACTAAAATATGCAAATGACTACGAAAAAAGTCACTATAGAACCTAACAGAAGAAACATTTCCAGTTACATGTGACGCCCAAACGCACCAATAGCTACCGCATGGAATGCAGGTGATGCTTGGGATCATCATGGGGGTCCAACCCAAGATTTGCACGACTCTGACTTTGAATGTTACAGTCATTGTGGCATTGAATTCCAGGGTGGAAACATCAGTTTAATTGTTTTAGTGACCAGAAAACAAATTTTGATATGCGTCGGCTTACCCAAAATGAAAGGTTACGTGCCCTTGGCATGCTACAGATCGGCACAACACAGGCGGTTGTGGTGCGGACGATGAATGTTTCTCAGTCTGTCATAAGCAGGCTATGGTCCAGATACCGTGATACACAATCTGTACAGGACAGACCACGCTCAGGTCGACCAAGGGCGACAACTCAAGCCCAGGATCGATTTATCCGTACCTTGGCCTTGAGAAATCGTGTCATCACAGCAAATCAGATCAGCGCTCGTCTTCAAACAGACACTGGTGTGAGAGTGAGTGGCCAGACGATTCGGAATCGACTGCATAGGGGTCACCTTCGCGCTCGACGTCCTCGCGTGATCCCTTGTTTGAGAGATCATCACATTCAGGCAAGACGTCGTTGGTGTAGGGATCGTCAACACTGGGATAATCGACGCTGGAGCAATGTGATGTTTTCAGATGAGTCAAGGTTCACTGTTGATTTTTTGGACAGACGTAGGAGGGTGTGGCGTCGTCGAAACGAGCGCTTCCAAGACGTTAACGTCATCAGACATGATCGATTTGGGGGTGGTTCTGATATGGTGTGGGAAGCATCACTGTTGCTGGAAGAACGGCTTTACATGTTGTTGCAGGGCGTGTTACAGGCCAGTACTACCGGGACAACATCTTGGCAGTCCATGTTGTGCCGTTCGCACGACGTCATGGCCGCCGTTTCATCTTCCAGGATGACAACGCAAGATGTCACAGGGCCAGGATCGTTACAGGTTACCTCCAACAACAGAACATCACCACATTACCTTGGCCAGCACTGAGTCCCGACCTCTCCCCCATCGAGCATGTCTGGGACATGCTTGGACAGAGGTTACGTCAACGTCAACAACGTCCTGCCAATGTCCAAGAACTTGCTGCTGCGTTGCAACAGGAATGGGACAATCTGGACCAAAATGACCTTAGACGTCTCATTAGGAGTATGCCACGTCGGATCAATGCGTGTTTGGCAAACAGAGGAGGATTTACCCGTTACTGACTTGGTTGTGATGCTGTGGTAACTTTGCTGTTTGACCCCGGGTATCATTTTACCCTTATAATGGTCAGTCTGTGCCTTACTTAGTCTAACGATCATTTGGAATAAATCGATGAATGTGAACTTCATTTCATTTTGTCATTTCTTTCTTCGTCAGTTTCATTAGGTGACTTTAATAACACTTAAAAATCAAATATCCCCTACTTTTTTTGAATAGTATATATCAAGTCGACGCATGATCCGACATATTGTAACGATCCCATACGATGTCGGATGTGACAGAGTGCACTGTATTCATTATTAAGACAAACATCAAAAACGTCTATTTTCACTTTTGACAGTGTATCTCTTTGCGAGTGAAATGGGGCCGTCAGATAAGCCGCCCATATGAAAGGTTTATGTTCATGTGTAGGCAATTGGCCTGTTATTAACATTAACTGGTTACCTCTAATAAAAACAGCAGTGCATTTCCGCAGTTTTGTATTGTTTCTGAATATCACCTACTTTTTATACCCCCACATTTTCATGTGGACGTATATTGTCGTCGCCCCTGTCCGTCCGTCCACAATTGATTGTGGACTCTCTACAGGTCACAATTCTTATCCGATTTTGATCAACCTTAAAATATAGGTTTATCCCCAAATGATCTCGGCTGCTTTCGATATTGGCATGTATCGGATCGAAACTTCATGGATTATGGCCCCTGTTTGTACGAAAAATCACGTTTTTAGCTTGTGGGCTCTATAGAGGTCACAATTTTTATCCAATTTTGTTGAAACTTGAAATGTAAGTTTATAACCCAAAGATCTCGGTTCCTTTCAATATTCGCACATATCGGACTGTAACTTCCTGAATTATGGCCCTTGATTATACGAAAAATCGCATATTTAGCTTGTGGACCCTATAGAGGTCATAGTTTTTATCCGATTTAAAAAAAACGTATTATTATATCACCGTTACACCCTAAGGATGGCTGAGTTCGAATTTCGTGAAAATTGGCCCAAAACAAAATGGCCGCCCTTCGTTCTCAAATAGCGTAAATATATGGTATATCAAGGTTGTGGACCCTATAGAGGTCACAATTTTTATCCGATTTTGTTTAAACTTGAAATGTAAGTTTATAACCCAAAGATCTCAGTTCCTTTCGATATTCGCGCATATCGGAATGTAACTTCCTGAATTATGGCCCCTGATTATACGAAAAATTGCGTTTTTAGCTTGTGGACCCTATAGAGGTCATAATTTTTATCCGATTTAAAAAAAACGTATTATTATATCACTGTTACACGCTAAGGACGACTGAGTTCGAATTTCGTGAAAATACGCCCAAAACTGACAGGCAAAATGGCCACCCTTCGTTCTCAAATAGCGTAAAAATATGGTATATCAAGGTTGTGGATCCTATAGAGGTCACAATTTTTATCCGATTTTGTTGAAACTTAAAATGTAAGTTTATAACCCAAAGATCTCGGTTTCTTTCGATATTCGCGCATATTGGAACATAACTTCCTGAATTATGGCCCCCGATTGTACGAAAAATCCCTTTCTTTTTAGCTTGTTCTCTATCCATCTGCCGCTGGTTCAATGTTAAATTCACATCAGGCAGACAGTATTAATGCTGGTAGGGGACAGGGAAGATGGTGGGTGTTCGGAAATGAATGATCTCTGTACAGCATGATGGACATATATAGTGCAATAGATTTTGCACTATTAACTTCAAATATAGATAACTGATAAGGCCCAATCCTTACCAAAACCTAATTTGCTACATCACTACAAATACATGTTATATTTATAGCACGGCTTTCAGGAGATAACAGGTTTAACCAGAGGCCGAAGGCTATAAATGACTTGTAACATTGACAACTGCTCAACAGGCTTATTATTATTGCACGGGAAACCCACCCCACTTCTCTATATGATTTCTACTAAAACTAGTGTAAACCAGCAAAAGTGTGCAATAACATTGAACATGTCTAGTTATTGCACGGTTAAGCTCCACCCAATCTACAAGAGGGGAAAAAAATCTGCTTATTCAACGAAAAGAACAAAGGAAGATTTCCCATCCATGTTACAAAGTTAGTTATCCCACACCTTTCAAAGAAAGCCAGAGACTATATTAAAATAGGTCCGTCTATCTGTCAGATGTTTGGTACACAATAATTTTGCTTTTAAAACTAGAATGTTCAAATTGATGTAGTTCATTTTGTGAATGAATGCCTTGTCAGACTTCAATGATGAGTATTTTCAGATATGTGACAATTTCATTGGTTGGGACACAATAACTCTGCTTTTAACTACAGGTAAGGTGTAGATGTTCATTAGGTGAATTTCTTGACTGAGCTGGATAATGAGCATTTTCTGCTCAGTCTAAGCAGAGATAAGCAATTTGATTGTCCAAGACTTCATTACAATTTATATGATTTTATTAATTACAGTGTTGTATAGATGATAGTGAACAAATGTTGGTATTATTATTAGAATATGGAGCCAATGTTAATGCACAAGATAGTGAACAATGGACACCATTACATGCAGCAGCTACATGTGGACATGCTCATTTATGTAAACATCTTGTAGATAGGTAAATGTTTTTATATGCCCACATTTCCATGTGGACGTATATTGTCGTCGCCCCTGTCCGTCCGGACGTCGACAATTGTTTGTGGACACTCTACAGGTCACAATTCTTATCCGATTTTGACGAAACTTGAAATATAGGTTTATCTCTAAAAGATCTTGGTTGCTTTCGATATTGGCGTGGATCAGACCGAAACTTCTTGGATTATGGCCCCTGATTGTACGAAAAATCACGTTTTTAGCTTGTGGACCCTATAGAGGTCACAATTTTTATCCAATTTTTTGAAACTTGAAATGTAAGTTTATAACCCAAAGATCTCGGTTCCTTTCAATATCGAATTGTAACTTCCTAAATTATGGCCCCTGAATGTACGAAAAATCGCGTTTTTAGCTTGTTGACCCTACAGAGGTCATAATTTTTATCCGATTTAAAAAAACGTTTTAGTATATCACCGTTACACCCTAAGGATAGTTGAGTTCGAATTTCTTGAAAATCGGCCCAAAACTTGAAACTTGTTGAAACTTGAAATCTAAGTTGATAATCCAAAGATCTCGGTTCCTTTCGATATTTGCGCATATCGGACCGTAACTTCCTGAATTATGGCCCCTGATTGTACCAAAAATCGCGTTTTTAGCTTATGGACCCTATAGAGGTCATAAAAACGTATTATTATATCACCGTTACACCCTAAGGATGGCTGAGTTCGAATTTCGTGAAAATCGGCCCAAAATTGACAGACAAAATGGCCGCTGTTCGTTCTCAAATAGCGTAAAAGTATGGTATATCAAGGTTGTGGACCCTATAGAGGTCACAATTTTTATCCAATTTTGTTGAAACTTGAAATGTAAGTTTATAACCCAAAGATCTTGGTTCCTTTCGTTATTCGCGCATATCGGACCGTAACTTACTGAATTATGGCCCCTGATTGTACCAAAAATCGCGTTTTTAGCTTGTGGACCCTATAGAGGTCATAATTTTTGTCCGATTTAAGAAAAAAAAATTATTATATCACCGTTACACCCTAAGGATGGCTGAGTTCGAATTTCGTGAAAATCGGCCCAAATATGACAGACAAAATGGCCACCGTTCGTTCTCAAATAACGTAAAAGTATGGTATATCAAGGTTGTGGACACTATAGAGGTCACAATTTTTATCCGATTTTGTTGAAACTTGAAATGTAAGTTTATAACCCAAAGATCTCGGTTCCTTTCGATATTCACGCATATCGAATTGTAATTTCCTGAATTATGCCCTTGATTGTAGAAAAAATCACTTTCTTGTTAGCTTGTTCTCTATCCATCTCTCGAAAATGTGGGCATATCCTGCCTGGCAGCCGCTGGTTATCAGATTTTGTTGAAACTTGAAATGTAAGTTTATAACCCAAAGATCTTGGTTCCTTTCGATATTTGCGCATATCGAATTGTAATTTCCTGAATTATGGCCCTTGATTGTAGGAAAAATCACTTTCTTTTTACCTTGTTCTCTATTCATCTCTCGATAATGTGGGTGTATCCTGCCTGGCAGCCGCTGGTTATCTGATTTTGTTGAAACTTGAAATGTAAGTTTATAACCCAAGCAAAAATATCGGTTCCTTTCGATATTCGCGCATATCGGAAAGTAACTTCCGCAATTATGGCCCCTGATTGTACGAAAAATTGCGTTTTTATCTTGTGCACCCTATAGAGTTCATAATTTTTATCCAATTTAAAAAAACGTATTATTATATCACCGTTACACCCTAAGGACGGCTGAGTTCGAATTTCAGGAAAATCGTCCCAAAACTGACAGACAAAATGGCTGCCCTTTGTTCTCAAGTAGCGTAAAAATATTGTATATGAAGGTTGTGGACCCTATAGAGGTCACAATTTTTATCCGATTTTGTTGAAACTCGAAATGTTAATTTATAACCCAAAGGGCGTATCCAGCCTGGCAGACGTTGGTTATCCGATTTTGATGAGAGTTGAAATACATATTTATAACCCAAAGAAATTGGTTTCTTTGGATATTCGCGCGTATCGGATCGTAACTTCCTGAATTATTGCCCTTGAATGTACAAAAATCACGTTTTTAGTTTGCCGTCCATGTAGAGGTCACAATTTTTATCCGATTTAAAAAAAAATGTGAATATATCATCATTGCACACTAAGAACTTGGTTACTTTTGATAATCGCGTATATCCAAAGTAACTTCCTGGATTATGGCTTCTGATTGTTCGAAAAATCGCATTTTAAGCTTGCAGATTCTCTAGAGGTCACAATTTTTTTTTCTAATCTTAAAAGCCGTTTAAATATTTCACCATTCACCATAATGATGGTTGAATTCGTATTTTGGGAAAATCGAAATGAAACTGCCCGACAAAATGGCCGCTTGTGTAAAAGTATGCAATATGAAGGTTGTGGATCCTCTAGAGGTCACAATTTTTATCCGATTCTGATGAAACTTAAAGGGACCATCCCTATTTGAATAGAGTCTCAAAAATAAAGTCGGAGTACGTATAAAATTTAAGCACCAAAATATAGAGGAATGGTGTATTTACCTTGTCTCAAAATTCCAGCTCAAAATATTGAGTCGTTTGGACGTGAACGTCAAAACTGCTTATCCGGAAACGTAACCCTTTTACGATTTTGTGTAAATTTTTTCGTTGGGTGACCTTATAATCGATTCCTGTTCCTTGATAACGAAAAGTAAATTTCACCTACACATTATTTTTATAAAATAAAAGTCTGGTTTTATCCAGACACCGCCTAATACAGCTTAGGACACTGGTCTCCATTTCCAGATGAAGACTGACGGGTTTAAGTTGTTTGAAAACATACCACAAATATTGAGTTAGTTCCTCGGCCCTTAGGTTGAGGATTTTAATGGATTTTAACATAAAATTAAGCAGTTTTATTCTCCAAAAAATTATCGGGATTGGCCCTTTAAAACATATCTTTATATCCCAAAGATCTCAGTCCCTTTTAATATTTGCGCATTACAGACCATAACTTTCTGGATTATTGTTTTTGGTGCATGCCCATAAATTTTTTCGTTGGGTGACCTGATAATCGATTCCCGTTCCTTGATAAAGAAAGGTAAATTTCACCTACACATTATAAAATAAAAGTCTGGTTTTATCCAGATACCGCCTAATACAGCTTGGGACACCGGTCTCCATTTCCAGCTGAAGACTGACAGGTTTAAGTTGTTTGAAAATGTACCACAAATATTGAGTTAGTTCCTCGGCCCTTAGGTTGAGGATTTTAAGGGGGTGGACAGTAGAAAATTTTTGTTTTTTTAATAATTGAGGTAAAGTCATCATTCTTACACATCTAAGAACACATCCATCGAATATTACAAAAACGGCCGAATAATTTTCCTGGGGGTACCTGTTGCTATGGAAACGGTGGCCATCTTGGATTTATGTGTATAATTTTAGTCATCCATTTGCTCAGAAACTATTCAACATAATGTTTTAAAATTAAGCAGAGAGGTTACTGACATGTTCCTTTGTGCAATAGGCAAGTTTCATTACAAAATAATAATTAGAAAGCATGTTATACACATTTTAATGTTAACTTCAAAATTCTTTCACGTGTCACAGTTGCTATGGCAACAATATATCAGGAGCTATTTTGCAGATTTCAATAAAATTCTCCTATTGCACAAAGTGATTATATAGGAAGTTATATTCCAAGTTTCAAGAAAATCTGACGATAACTTTCAGAGATATAGCATGACTAAACTTGGTGACTCTAGAAAAAAACTGTTTTGAGAAATCAGTAGAACAACTTACATCCCACTTCTACTCGTTGCCACTGGTAACCTTTGATAAAACTGTCCTGTTTAATCGCAATACATGCTTAAAAGTATCCGTGTATCAGTAATGTACAGAAAGAGTACTGTTCATTTCTGATACACGGATACTTTTAAACCGTTTTAGATACCTATCAAGCAATCAGTAGCGGACGTTTAGTCAGATCCAGATCGCAAATGAAGACGATGGCTCTAACCAATGTACATGAAACAACTAGTCAAAATCATAGCAACAAAACAAAATGGGGGAAACTACATGGCAGTTCAAAAACATATACAATGACTTCAAATTAACATAACAACATATTACAAAAATCAATTATTATACATATCAATTGGCATCTATTTTATAATTTGGTTTGATTTATATTAATATGCAAAATATATATATTAGAATATTGAATAATTATTTTAATTAATTGTGATGATAGAAGGCGCAGTTCTCTTGCTGGACACTTCACAGGCATTGATAATAAGCAGGATGAAAAAAACGCCTAGAAAGTCATAAACTTTATTACAAATAAATTTCAACGGAAGAACCATCCGCCGATGCATACTTTCACCAGGAATGACCCACGTTTCACATTTCCTTTACACTACATTTAATAATATCGCAGTCCTCTACGCCATAGATAAGATGTTTTGACGGTGTGGTCTAAACAAACACGTGATTGTTTTACGCTCAGAGTATCATAGCAAGACGCACGTGTAAATACTACTCAGGTCGTCTCTCCACAGCGAAATCATTCTACCATGAAATGTAACGTGAGGCTCAGAAAGGGATAAATAATGAAAGAGCAGAAAGTATTTGTCACTTTTCGGTTGAAACGACTCGATGATAAATACTATTTTTCACATGTTGGTTCACAATACTCGATAGAAATGTGATGTAAGTAACTTATTAGCACCTTTCCTCGGTGTATCGGTGAATATCAGGACAGTTAAGGTCGGGGGCCGCCCCGGCTTCGCCTCGGCTGGGCCCCTCGACCAAAACTGTCCTGATATTCACCGATACACCTCGGAAAGGGTGCTAATAACTACTACTTACGCCGATCTGTTCAATTCATTTATTTAATATTAATAAACTGACTTTTAATATATATATTTTCTAATGTATTTCTTATCAATATACAGTATTTTCTTATTTTATTTCTTGTGTGTAAATTTACAACCAAACTTTGACATAGAATAGATGTTATTCAAAACA